CATGAACGGGTTGGTGGTGTACCTGGGGCTTCTGTTTAGGACTATGCTTCCTCCTCACCGTCACCCAGCCACCCTCTTTCCCCAGCTGCTCAGGACAATCTGCTGTGGAGAGCTAATGGGGGACAACTCTACCTTCGTCTGGACTGCCTACAGGGATGTAGCTAGCTGCAGGTTTTCAAGAGTGCGAAGCCAAGCTGCAAATGGGCTACATTTATCACAAGTACCATTATTGATAAAGGAGGCTGAGGAGTAACTAAACATCTGATGCAATGAGCAGGAAATGGACAGGTGAAGTGGCGGGTGAATTAATCGAGAATGTCCTTTGGATGAAACATATGCAGAAGCTGAGAAGCCCAGACTTCCCTCTCCTCGGCCACCTCCTCCAGCCTTTCCGGGGGAACACCAAGGTGTTCCCAGGCCTCCTCACCCTATCTCTAAGCAGAGGCCAGCCACACTTCAGGGAAGCTATCCCTGGCAGAAGTAACTGTTCCCTCAATCTTCTGCTCATGGGGGTCCTTTGAATTGCTCTTTGTCTGGTTCCTCACCCAGGACCAATTTGCCATGGGAGACCCTAGCAGGGGGCAAAACCCCCTGACAGGGACCCTTGGATCCTTCCAGAGGTGTGTCCCTGGGATCCCTGGGACACACGAACCCTTCCACCACGATAAGGTAGTGATTCACGAAGGGGGAAACAACATTATGAAACAAGACATTATGTATAAGTTTTTAATTAAATTGCTCGCGCAGATAAGCTACACAAGAACACCATTGTGTGTGTAACAGGAGCAGGTTTCAGACAAACAGAGAATAATTATGTTATTGTCCCCACACTTTAACAGATAACTCACACACACATGAGAAGCAGCTGGGCTTGACGTTTCAGTTGTTGTGTTATTCTCAACAACACACCACCTCTGTCTTACTTCAGATTCAGATTAGTGGGTGACTCTGCTTTCAGCTGTGTACTCGCCTACTTCTGCCTGGACTCCAGAGGTTACTGCAGAGTACTGGGTTATTAAAGGTTACTTAAACTGGCTTCAGCTAAGCTCTCATAGCCTCACACTGGTAAATGTTGTGACATTATCATTTACATGAAGGAAAAATATTCATTAAGTTTCAGTCTCCAGACTTAATCAG